GGAGCCTGCTTCTCCCTCTCCCTCTGCCTCTCTCCCTGCTCATGCTTTCTCTCTCTCTCTCTGTATCTCTGTGTCTCAAATGAATACATAAAAAAATCTTAAAAAAAAAAAAAAAGAAATAGAAGGAGGTGGGGCACCTGAGTGGCTTAGACAGTTAAGTGTCCAACACTTGATTTCAGCTCAGGTTATGATCTCGGGGGTCATAAGATCAAGCCCCACATGGGGCTCCATTCTCAGCAGGGAGTCTGCTTGAGATTCTCTCTCCCTCTGCCTCTGTCCCTCCCTCCTTTCATCTCTCTCTCTCTCAAATAAGTAAATAAATTTAAAAAAAAAAAAAACAAGAAAAGAAATAGAATGAGGAATTACAAACTGCTAAGAGAAAAACGTGATATTGAATCATCCTCCAAACTCTTAATGTGCCTCCTAACCCATATAGAAAGTATTTCTTCAGAAGAAATAGGAAATAAATATCAGTAATTATTACAAAGTACTTTATCCAATAAAAATAAATGTTGAAAACCTTAACTGAAAACACATTTTGTGTATTTTAAATAAAGCTTTTGTATTCACATATTGCTAAAACATTCATATAAAAGTCAAAAATTCAGCCCATCATCTGACCACTCTGCCTGCCTTTACACATTTAAATGTGTTTAAGTATCTTAGAGTCTAGCAGTGGGTAGACTAACACCCAAATGATTGAATGATTGGGTTTGTGTAGACATAGAAAAGGTGTATTTTTTGTATAAACCTTCACATTTTGAGAGGGCTTCTAGGACAAATTGAAATTCAATGTGTTCCTTCCTCTATGTTAAATAATTATACTATTTCAATTTCCCTATGCATTCTATCTTGAAAGTTAAGCATTAAATGCCCAGAAACTCTGCTACAATCTCTGGTCAAAATAATTTTTGTATTCCTCTACACTGTGGCAACAAAATTCTTTTAGGAATGGAAGGATATTTTATGAGTGGAACTTTCAGTATGGCTAGAGTGTTTGAATCAGTGATCAGAGTTTTCGGAATTTTAAACAGGTTGTACAAGCTGAGGAAATATCCTTCAATTACTTCAATAGGGAATACTTACATGGCCATCAGAGCAGTCCCTGGGATTTGAACACTGGTCAGGTCTATCTGTTCATTCCTGGTATGCTCAGTTTCAAGACTGTGAGCCTGGATTCATGTAAAAGAACTGAAACTGAACTAGCAGACTTAATATTTTATTTAAAACTTTTTGAATCACTTGATTTTTCCCTAAATTCAAACATTTAGATTAAATTGTAGTTAAACTTTAATGGGATGGGCAAAAATATTTAGCCATAATTTGGACATTCTTTTCAGACAATTTATGTGGAGCCACAAAGCAAATATCTTAACAGGGCTTTCTTTTATATGAGCAAATAATCAGAATTGGATATATTTTCAAGACAAAAAGGACAATAATTTTGTTTCATATTGACTTTGGAAAGCTTTCCCTCCGATTTCATTATTAAAACTTTTGGTTGACCTTTTTCTATTAGAAAACATCCTTGGGCGCCTGGGTGGCTCAGTTGGTTAAGCGACTGCCTTCGGCTCAGGTCATGATCCTGGAGTCCCGGGATCGAGTCCCGCATTGGGCTCCCTGCTCGGCAGGGAGCCTGCTTCTCCCTCTGACCCTCCCCCCTCTCATGTGCTCTCTGTCTCTCTCATTCTCTCTGTCTCAAATAAATAAATAAAATCTTTAAAAAAAAAAAAAAACATCCTTAATACTGATGGAGTTTTTCATGCTTCTTAGTAATGCTAATGAGTTGAATAATTTATGAGGTTGTCATGTGCAAAAGATTTGGTGTGATTTGATATACTTTCAGCCTTGGTGTTGGAATGTGATTAATAAAAACCTAGAGGCATGTGAATTTTTTTTCCTGATGTTTAATGTTCTAATTTTGTACATATTAAGTATGTTATTTAGGTGTTTTCTAATAGTAAAATTTCATATAAGTGCAAATTTAATTGATAACTAGGAATTTTACAGACCATAAGGAAGAATATAAGGAAAATATTTTAAAACTCATAAATACATCTTCTGACTTGCAAGGTTTTCTTCTTCAGGGCAAATTAGCTAATGAGGAAATGATTGCAAAGGGAGATTTTGTATATTTATATGTTTAAATAAAACCTCAACTGGTCAACTTCTAGTATATTTCTGGTGCTTAAAGATGATGCTGTCAAAGGATAGTGCAAAATCTTAATAAGTTTGATTGTCTTTGTTGACTGTCAATTATCATTTAGGACTCTGTTTCCCTTCCATAAAATTATAGTGGAACAATGTTTCAT